CTCACGCAATGAGTGTGAGACACACCTATTTGACCCTTTTTACATGCTCTCACCACCCCACCCCCACCCTCACGCATTGAAAAGTTCAAAAGTTGGCACCCCTGTATTTGTGGAGATAAAACATCAACAATGCATTACATGCGCTAAATTTCCCCTATCCGATTATAATCTTGGTTAATCAGAAATCCCAAATCTCTGTTTACATGGACACTAACTGAAATGATCTGATCGTGCCGTGAGTATACATGCAAGCAATCAATCAGATTAAATGGGTTAAGCATAAGCAGACGTGTCTTTCCCGGAAAAATAACAAACAGCATCTTGACTGCACATCTTTTCCTCTGCATTTAATTTTCTTATTTTCTAGCTTTGTCCGTTGACTTATATTTTTTCCCCCTTTATGGACCACTTCTGTTTACCTCCCGCCATGTTTTCGTCTTGTCCTGTGGGTCTGCAAAGGCTAAGACATCACGCTGAAGTTGTGCACATGCGCAGTGGGTATTATTTTACTCCAACTATCCAAATGGGTGTGTACATGGACGTCAAGCAGAATGCTGATCAGACAAAACCATCTCTCACAATCGTGTCAGACCAGAATTTGTTTACATGAAGAATTTTTGATTTAATAGGGCATTCATTCTGATTACTTGTGACCATGTAAACATAGCTTGTATTAGAGTTTTGATGCTGTTCGAATTTCAGGAATGAGTAAGAATGCAAATTCAACAGTTTTCTGTTCCTGTCTCCTACGGCAAAATTCTCCCTGAAACAGGAGCACCAGAGCTTTATTTACTCACAAGGCATTAATTTATACTGGAGATCACTGCAAATCTATTGAAATAGTGGGAGAAATTGGTCCTTAAAGTTTAAGATAATCACCCCGATTACAATTATTCTGTTGCCGCTTCATCCTGATGAGTACTACATGAACATCTGATCCTCTCCTAGGAGTCACCAGGTGAATGGTGTTGAAGGACTTGTTCAAGCAGCTTTAGTACAGAGTGAAAAATCATTATTTATGCTACCCTCACTCCTACAGACATAATAAAATCACCAATTTTTTTTAACATCCATGTTTGTGGACTGGAAGGATGGCAAAATACCTGAAGGAAACTTACTCATAACATGGAAATTCTATCCTTATGCTGTTTTAACATTAGGATTTCTTTATAACAAACTCATGGTGTGAAGATAAAAATTGTTGTTTGACGAGTTTAGTAAACAGTTTTCATTGACTGCTGTTTGAGAGTTGGGTGGTGTTTTTTTGTACATCAAAAAGTGTACACAAGGAAGTGTTCCCACTTGAAATTTTTATGTTACATTATTAAGACTTAGGAAAAATGATCAGATCTTTATGAGCTCCTAAATTTATCCAAAGATGACTTCAAATCAAAAACAACACATGCTATCTTGTTATTATTTAGTCTACAGAATAAAGATTAATAATGTGACCATCTCTTTGGAATTTTAATTTCATTTCTAAATGATGTAACTCAACAATTTACCAGACAGAAGAATTATCCACTGATGGAAAAGATTTAGAACAGCTGTAAGTCTGTCCAGTAGCAGATGTTCCAGCTATCTCACCCTAGGGAGGTCAATTGCAGGAAATTAATGAAAAGAATAAAAGAATACGCTCCATTTCAGATGTTGCTTCCATTTGCAGGTTGGGAGATTAGAATTCATGAAAAGACATTAAGGAAAAGGCAGAACAAATTTGACTTGTTTGAAAGTGTTCTCTACCGAAAAAATGGCAACATACCTTAAAGTTGCATCTAACTTCTGGAGCAATGTGAGAGAGATAAAAGGAACCACCTTTCATCAAGTTTTTTGACAGGCCTATTGTTCTTTGACCTTTATGCCCTTTACCCCCCAAACCACCCTTCGTCAAACTTGACAGGTGTATTGTTCATTGACCTTTCCGCCCTTTCCCCCAAACCACCTTATGTCAAACTTGACAGGTGTATTGCTTTATGACCTTTTGTGATATGATCTTTAATGACCCTATATGTCAAGAAAAAAATTGATGACTGTTGTGTAATGACGCATGAAGTTATTGATTGTAGTCTCCTTTTGTCAAGATGTATATTGATGATCTGCTTTGATGTATTCAATCTGCACCACTTTACGTCAAGTTCAATCAATCAATCAATCAATCAATCAATCAATCAATCAATCAATCAATCAAAGCTTTACTTAGAAAGCGCCTTCCGCAGCCCTGTCAGGAAGCCCAAGGCGCTGAACATGGTACAATAGAAGGTAAATATATTGAATAAATCAAAAATAAAAGCAATTCAAATTACAAAATACAAATTACAAAAAAAGTGAAACATTCTGGTACAGGACAAATGTGTAAAACAATGGATAGAGTGAACAATGAAAACTGTGAAATAAATTCAACATAAAAGAGGGCCAAAATCAAAAGAGTGGGTATAGGTGATTTCTGTTAGCCCTACTTGCCACCCGCCATTCAGATTGATGTGACGCGCAAGACCGGGGAAATTGTATTATTTTTAAATACATCGGCACTGGCGTTACAAGGCAATGTGATATAAAAACCCTCCTCCTGTCTCAGATCCATGTATTTTTATTTTTTTTATTGACCCTCCTTTTAAACATCATGTAGGTCTGAGGTCTTAATCCAACTGGAAAATTTCGGGGCCAGACAAGCCACTTTTTTTTTCTTTTCTTTTTTTTTAACCGTGTCCTGTCTGGCTGTGAAGCAAACAGAATTGATGTCTGAATGCTGGTGACAAGCCTTACAGATTTACTCTCAGGTGGAGCATCAAAGCCTCTGCTTTTAATGTCACGCCTGATACTTAAAACTTTACTTTTGTTGTTTTTAAATGCTTTGTAATTCCGACCAGACTCGGAAAGAGAAAGGAAAAGACAAAAGGTGGGGAGAGAGGGGGGAAGGGGGTGGGGGGGTTCCACAAAAATAAACAATAATGAACAAGAGTCTGCTTCTAGACCTGCAGAAAGAGACAAGAAAAAAAAGCAAAAGAACAAAAAAAAGGGACACAACAACAATACAACAAGATCAAGCTATCACTCCGTCAACTTGATGAAGACATATATAATCAACATTGTTTAACTGAACAATCACACGATAATAAATCACAGTGCATTAAGTGCCCACCATAGTCTTAAGACCTGTGTTGAACGTGCCCAAGCCCATACTTTTGAGAGTACCATGTGAGCACCTGTGTGTGTACACGCGCTTGTTTATGTAAGGTTTCTCTATAGGAGCGTCCAATAGAGAGTGTGAGGGACCACAGATCTGCCCCCAAAGATGTGTAGGAGACGGGGGGAGCTCCAAGTCCCAGAGATCCAGGCGCTGCCCCAGAACACAGGAACCCCAAGGAGACTGCAGCCAGAAAGGCCCCCGCCCCCCTCGAGAGGCACAGAGGATCGCCCCGGGGGGCCACAACCAGCATCCGGCAGAGTCCCGGGAGATATCAGCGGCAAGCCCACAGGCCTGCCCGCCCGCAGCCTCCCACCCCCTAGCCGGCCGAGCCCGGGACCCAGCGACCCGGGACCCAGGGGCGACCACCCCCGTCGGGGACCCAGCAGAGCCCAGGGACACAGACCCCACCAGGCAGCCACTGGGATTGATCAGGCAGACACCAAAAATCTTAAACCCCCTGACCCGGGAGCCACAAACACTCAGGCAGACCAAGGCACCACACCCCACACCAGGTGTGGCAGGGAGTGGGGATGAAGATCTATATCATCAAAAGAAGTCCCAGGAGAGGGGAGGAGTCAAAGGCTCCACATGACATATACAGTCATACACAAACACAGTCACATACTCCCTCCCTCATGCTCACACATGCACATACAACCCAAGACTTACAAAAATGCATGCCGGACATCCACTCATGCTCCCCATACACACCCTATTCACTCTGGTCCCGGTACTGCTTCACATTGGGTACAACCATCACCAGTTACCAGAGTTTGACCCTTTCTGCTGGGGTGCTGATGAGCAGCCTTCCCCGCCCAACGCTGAGCACAGCAACCCACCACCCCAGACCCCAACCAGACGGCCAGATCTCCCTCCTAGCCTCCAGCCCCAGGAAGCCAAGCAACAACAGAGGTGTGCTAAGACCCCTAGTCAAGCCACTTAACAAAAACTTGTCGCTCTACTCGGAATGTCCGGCGTTTTAAAACTTTTTCAACATGGAAGGATCTCTCGGTCGAAAGGTTTACTTTCTGCAACTCGGCTGCATAATATGTCCCTTCAGTTTTTTCCCCATCAAAATCTTTGAGCTTATAAACTGGTGGCGAGCGATGAAGACACTCATCCACTGTGAGAAGTTCGTGTGTAAAACTCTGCTCATATTTTTTTTATCAAAAACACCTCTGAGTTTGGAAATTCTCACAACGCCTCCCCTTTTAAACTTGATTTTCTTTGCAGGCTTCAGTGAGGTGGCTCCGTAAAGCTGGGCGGAAACTGTGCGACTTTTTCACTCGTAGCACTCAGCTTCAGCTCAAACTGTACGACTTCCTCGTAGGGCAGATCTCAAGAGTCATGCGCTCACACTGCACGACCCAGTTCTCAGATGCGATCTGACTGCTCACACTGTACGTCTTGTAGCAACACGTCTGACCTAAAAATATGCTAAAAATAGCAGTTTTTACACAACACGTCAGACTTTTTTGTCTTGTTTTGCCTGTTGTCCTTCAAGAGAGCTGCAGGAGGACACAGGGATGGCTTGGATGAGGAAAACGAAATAAAGAAAGTAAATCTGTGTTTTGTGATCAGTTTAATTTGACATGAACACGACAAACACGCTTTCTTGACAATCTTTGTGAGTAAAAAAAACGTGTAGAAACAAAAACAAACAACGTGTGTTATTAGGGAAATAGCGGGCGAGCGGTGTTGATGCATGATTGCGCATGCGCCGTGAGCGGTTCTGATACTTTTTGGGTCGCAGCTGCTCGCAGCACCGCTTCAACAGTGCAATTACTTCAGCGGGAGAGATTTTGATGGAAGAGTGGTAGCTATGGTTATAACCTCGTACTAAATCTTGAATCACATCTATGTAGCGATGGGTGTTTTTTGCCGTGAAATATCCACATTCTACCTTTTAGAGTCCTGTTAAATCTCTCCACAATGCTGGCCTTTACGCTGCTGGCTGTGGCAAAGTGCACAATGCCGTGTTTCTTCATGAGAGCATCAAATTTCTTATAAAACATTCATTACCATCATTCGTCTGCAGTTTTTTTAGGGGTACCACTGTCTTTCAAAACTGAAGCAAAAGCTTCTGTAACATCTTTCCCCGATTTGTTTTTCAGGACTCGTACATAGGTCTTCTTTGAAAATACATCTATGGCGGTTAATAGGTCATTAAAATAGTCGTTGGATTTTGACAAGGCCTGCATGTCGCATAAGTCAGCTTGAAACTGCTTTAGTGACCCTGAGACAAAAACCTTATTTCTCGGAAAACAAACTCTTGCCGGTTTGTGTAGTGTGTAAGCATCCTGCTCTGAGAGAAAAACGCGAGCCTTATCCGATGAAACTTTCTCCCCAATCTCTCATTTAAACTGGTTCTAAACCTTTCCACACCTCCGTAACTACCCTGATGTTCTGGTGAAAACTAAACCTTTTTCATTACCTCCTCCATCTCTGATGGATGCTTGAAAAAAATAATACATATTCATTCTCATTATTTCTTTTTATTTCATAAATTGTACACATGTGACAATAAAGCTAGTCATATATAAGGAATAAAATCTAACTGTACTGTAAAAAATGCAGTACAATCTAGTCAGATATAAGGAATAAAATCTATTCACACTATAAAAAAACAACCGTGCAGTCTGGTCAAATATAAAATCTAATCAGACTGTAAAAAAACAGCCATCAAATATAATGAATAAAATCTAATGGCGAACTGCTAGAAATGATTATAATAATAAAAAAAAGTTGCAGAAGAGACAGCATACCCCCCACAGTTCATTCCACCACCGCAGCCAGTGCATCCAGGTCAGCTTTGGTCAGGCGATCGTACACCGGAAAAATGTCTTTGTGAATGGGCATCACAGCCCTGAATCTGTGCAGCTGCGTCACAGCCATGGTGAACAGGATCTCAGCATCCAGCTGAAAGCCATGCAGAATGAGAAAACTTTGAAGAGCCGGAATCAGCTTGGGTGTTAAAACTCTGCTGATAATGTCAGAAAAGTGAAAATCGAAAAATAATTCATTTTCAGCTACGTAAAGACATTCGTGTTGCCACTGACTGGGGTGATTGATCTTGCATCCGTGACAGATTGTAGGTAGGAGAGCTTTGATTGCCATGTTGACCAAGTGAAGAAGCCCCATCTTCACTCGGTCCACCTGGTCTTCTGAAAACACCCTGTCAGGCAGATGTAGAGGCTCTTACGCAGTGCTATGGATGTCGAGGGTCTGCTGCTGCTGCTGCTGTTGCACACCGTCCTCCCGAGCTGGTTGAGGCGAAACCGGTGGCGGGTCAGGGGTTGATGTCTCTGAAGGATGTGGAGTATCAGGACTCGCCAGAGTCTCGTCGATCGAGGGTCTGAATGGTACGTTACCAGAGACGGTCTCCGGAACCTCCATGATTGTGGGGAGCCGTGGGAAGTTATCGTCCGGAAAGCATGATGGTGGTGGCGGCAACGTGGGCCGATTACTGCCGTTGTATCTCGGTGGTGATGAAGCGGCTAGCACCCAGCTCGGTTGCGGAGAAAAGCTGTTCTGGGTCCATAGTTCATCAAGGGTTGACTGAGTGTAGAAACCCATCATGCTAATGTGCTAGATCGTCTGGGATGAAATGGTTTCTAGCTGAAAGCTCTTTATAACTAGTGATGGTTGGGGGGCGTGGTTTGATGATGCGACCACCGCTCCTTCTCCTCCTCCTGAGGCGGGGCTTAGAATTCCAGCTTTTTTCACACTGTCAGTCAGAATGTCTCTCCAGCAGCGGCTGTTAAGAAAAATTGAAGTGATACGATCCCCCACTTCATCTATTTTCTCACACCAGGGCTTGAATGGTACAACCTGTAAAAGGCAGTAAATACCGCATGCAACATGCATATTTTCCAGCACAAAGAAGAGCTCCGATCCTCTCTCCCGGACCAAGGCCTTGAAAGACTGGGCAGTACTCAACCTCACAGTTCCATGCAGGGTGTACAAAGATGATCGTGAGAGACCTTGTCCAGCTGTAAAGCGCAACAGGCCGCAAGCTCTTCCATCGCTGGATGAAATCCAGAATGCCGTGATAGCTTTCAGCGCTTCATGGTAGGGGCTGGAGGATGCGGATGGGCAGTGGATTTTCAGGTACCTTATTGTAAAGTGTTACCATTAGACACAGCCCCTTAGTGTCATAGCTGAACCGGTACCCAAAACTACCGGTATCGTCGTAAGGTTCAAGAGGCCAAATTTGCTCCAAGGACTCTTTACTGCCAAAAGGAGGAAGCTGAACTCTACACATATAGAATGTAGATTTGTGGGAAACACCACCCCCTGAAGGCAGCTGATGGATCACTATGGATTTTTCACAGAACAAGGTCTGTGATAGCGGCGACGGAGTGTCAACGCTCTCCTCTTTCACCTCCTTCTTCTCTCGGGTAGAGGTTGAAGCATCGGTTGTAGACACTTCATCCATCTCCTCTTGCTTCACCATTTTCTTAAGAGGTATTTCTTTGGTCTTTCACCATTCTGATACGTTCTCAGTCTGTCCGCTGAAATGGATCCGAGCTTTTAAAGAGGCAAGCAGGGTTGGAGGGAGGGATGTGGGGTATTACGTATGAAGGGGAGGGACTGTGGGAACTGTGGGGTGGTGTATCCTAACACAAAAGATTTATCAATCCTAACTTGACTTAAAGTGGTGCAGATTGAATACATCAAAGCAGATCATCAATATACATCTTGACAAAAGGGGACTACAATCAATAACTTCATGCTTCATGCTTCATGATCTCTTTTATAGACCAAAGTCATCTAGTCTGGCATGAGTCCATCTGTCGATTAGGACTAAACTAGATCAGGTAATAGAAAACTATCCAAAACACACCCTAACCCCATAATCAAGAAGATTTAACAATTCAGTCAAAGTCCAGACCTCAACTTGATTCAAAATCTATGGTGGGACCTTCAGAAAACTGAGCAGTAACTGTTGTCTGTAAACCTCAGTGTACCAAGGCAACCGTGGAAAGAAGCGTGGGCCAGAATTCCTCCAGAACCATGCAAGAGACTGATGAAGTTAGACAGAAAACCACTACTGACAATTGTTGCTGCTACAGGATGTTGTAGGCTACAAGATGTTGTTTTATGAGATGGGTTTTTTTTATGCAGCTTTTTTCCACTCTGGCTTTGTTTTTGTTTAATAAATAATGTCATGAAGGAACCTGTTCTGTGCTTTTCACACTTGAAATTAGATTTGAATACTAGAAGCTGGCAAAGATTGGGTCACTTTTATAATGTTCTGATATGTAAAACTTTAAAAATGAAAATGATGGATTTTTGTTTTACTATCATGTTTAATGGTAGAAGGCAAGACAGCAAAGTACCTAATTAAACCTAAAAAGGTTATAATGTGAGTTTGACAGATGACTAATCAAACTAATAACTAGGGTTGTCACGGTATGAAAATTTAACCTCACGGTTATTGTGACCAAAATTATCACGGTTTTCGGTATTATCGCGGTATTTTTTAAACGGTGTTGCATATGTTCAGAAAGCATTGATAGTCCTGTTCTACACAAACTGAAATAGTTCTGAAAAGGTTTAACAGTGTTTATTAAACCTAAAATAACACAAAGCCTTAGCAAAAGTGCAACTTTTCACAAGTAAAGGAACAAATAGCTTATTTTTCTGGAACATGTTACAGTAGTCAGTGCAGGTTTAAATTATACAAATCCAAACATTCGAAACATAAACAATATGTAAACAAATCAAAGAAACACCACTTGTTTTCTCATATACTTGTTTTCTTCATTATCAAAATGAAAATCTAAAACTCCAGTCCACACTTGACTTGAGCACTGTACAAGTCAACCTTAAAAAAATATGTATTTAAAATAAACAGCCACTTTAAACAAATTACTAAAATAACTACTACACTATGTAATCAAATCCAAATGTTCAAGTATAAATGGCATTGAATAAGTAAACAAATCAATGACAAGGAACTAATTGTATATTTCTCTTCATCATCAACAAATAAGATGCTTCATCCAGCAACAGGGTGTCCGTGACACGGTTTAAATGCTGGCAGAGGACGCTGCGGCGACTCGTTGCATTCTCCCTCAACCAAAAGTCCTCACGTCATGCATTTAAGCTAAAATGCTAGCGTTAACTTACCTTGCACTGGCTGTAGAGACGTGGGTGATGGTCACGCAGATGTGCCATTAGATTCGAAGTGTTGCTGCCTTTTGCAGACACTTGTTTCCTGCACGTTCTGCAAACGGGATAGCAGTCTTCTATTAACTGTCCCTCAGCATTTTTCAGAAATCCAAAATAGGCCCATACTTCCGATTTAGTCTTCTTTGAGGGCTGATGGATGTCCTGGGCGCTGCCGTCTCCTCCTTCGGCCGTTATTTCAGCTTCAAAGTTTTGGTGCCGTTGCAAACTAAAAAGTGCGTGTGCGCGCCGCGGGAACTTCAGCTGAAGCGACGGTGGCTGGTAAGGGTCATCGCGCGGAAACCGCGGCCACGGTAAACCCACCGAGATAATATAGTTTTTTAAAAACTGGACGGTTATTTTTATTGTCAACTTTTTTACCGGGGTTTACCGCTATACCGGTTACCGTGACAACCCTACTAATAACTAATAACTAATCATCTCTGAGTCCATTTCACAGCCAGGGGATATATTGGCTTAAACAAAACCTGACAGTAAAGCCTTGCAGCATTTTTAGTTTCCATTAAATCTTGTGACTTCATTCCTGTAAATAGTTGTAGTTTACATAAACATTGAGCCAAAAAGGAAGCTAACATGACAGTTTTTGTTATTTAGGGTACTTTTATCTGATAAACAGTTTAAGCTAGAGAGTAAATCTAGAGGCAGAAAATTAAATCCTACATGGAAAGTTAACTATTGCTCTGTGGTCTTTACTTCTCACAGATGGAGATCTGTTTAGAAAAACAGCCATCATCATTCCATTCTCCCCCTGATTGTGTTTGTACAAGTTCTCCACAGTCCTGGTTTCCACCGTAGTTGTTGGGCTGCTCTGCCTGCCAGAACCTGGAGAAAAGGAACAACTTTATATTGTCATAGTGATTATAGTCTAAACTGTGACTGAAAAAAATGAAAAAGTTCCTTTAATCTCAATTAATGAATTTTTATTCTTCCACACAAGTCAGATTACAACAGAAAATGTCTGAGTTTTTTAGTTTTTGTTGTTTAGAAACTTACGTTGTAGTGACCGTGTTTCCATCCAGCCACATCCAAACCCCATCTTCCACACTGTCAGTGAGACCAATCCAGGCATTTTGGTCTTTATGCAGTAGCCTATTAACAAACACCTGTTTGGCACAATCAAAAGATAAAACTTTTTTAAACAAACCTCTTGAAGTATCAAATTCAGAATCAAGACAAGGGATCATTTATGTTAAATGAAGTATGTTTATTTATTTTTTGTCAGCTTCACAGACGTTCTTAATCAGGCTGACATATAACAACTAGGGTGTATGAACATTTGAGGACCTGCCAAGATTAATGCAGAGTTGACATAATTTAAGGACAAGTAAGTCTTTAAAATACATATACAGTATGAGTAAACAACAATGTGAGAATAACAATTGTAAAACAATGGGTTTTAGCCCTGTTGGCCAGAAAGAGGTACTCCTTCACAAATCAGAGGTGTTGCTTTTGGCCGTAAATATGAAAGTGGGGAGAACGGCAGAAGGTGCAATACATTTTTCAACCTCTAGATGGTGCAATCAGATTAAAGAGGGAGGGCGGATTGCCAGTGAATGAGGAAGTCTGGCCAAGTGACTGTCCTGCACATACGGGGAAATGTTCGGCAGAGCAGTCTGGTAGGAGGAAGAGGTTCCTCTCATGGAGGATGAGACTGTATGAGCTTTTACGGGGCAGACGACCTAATTTGTTGGCATAGTACAAAAATAATGTGGTCACAAATTTAGCGATGAAAATTGATGCAGCCCTTAAAGGGGCAATATGCAAGTTTGACAGCCAAAACATGTATAGAAATAATAAATTTCTTCATCATACATTCTCTTGCAATGCCCTGGTCCTGTAGAATGAGCCCTGGCATTTTTACTGTAAAATCACAGAAAAAGAGAGCTGCTCGGGTCGAGTAGGCTGCTTCATGCACGTTCACGCTCAGGCATAGCCCGTAGCATTTGCTTTCCATAGCTTTAGCAGCAGAGAGAGAGGCAGTGCCACTTTGTCGCTGTTCCTAACGCCTAGTGACAAACCTAGCTACATTTCTGAGGACCCTTAGCTACTTTCTGTAGAACTTTCTTCTAGATATTTCCTGCAAATTAGCAACAAAATTGCCATTTTCGCTCCGAACCGTTCTTTGGTTTAACGTTGTTTCAGCTGCCATCAAGGATATAAATGTTACAGATGCAAAAGGCATCACTGGTGCTTTAGCTCATCTAGTAAGACATCGGACTCTCATGCAGAAGACCTGGGTTTGATTCTGGATGTGAACACAGTTTATTTAGAGTTTCTGTTTTACATTAATGGTATATTTTTTTACAGCAAGATGCCCAAATTTTTATTTGAGACTCGCCGAACGGCATTGAATTCACAGATAAAAAAGATGTGGGTTCAACTTTCATTTTGGAACAATTTTTCAAGCAAGGGAAGGGAATGATCTGAGCATGCAGGAAGACTGACCCATCATCAGTGTTGGGAGTAACGCAGTTTAAGTATAACGGCGTTTCTAACTGCATTCTTTTAGAGGTAACGGAATAATCTAATTAATTACTTTTCCCGCCGTTGCAACGCCGTTACCGTTACTGGGGACGGAACGCTGTGCGTTACTATGTGCTTGTCGAACGTTGAGCAGCAGCGTGAGGCTTTCCGACCGCCACACTTCAGCTGCAGCCAGGGAGAGAGAGGTGTCGGTAACGCACTTACAAACACTATGATGATTGGCCGGGTGGGCGGAGACCCTCACGGTCTCAGTCGCTGCATTCTGTAGACACAACGGGAATAACTCCGTTTAAAATAACCGCGTTAATAAAAAATATGTCTTTCTGTAACAAGCAAACTAATTAATTACGTCTTCTTTTATCAAAACGTTGTTCCTGTTACTGGTAAGGAAATGCGTGCGTTAAGCAGTGCGGTGTGTGTTGAAGCTGTCGTCAGCTGATCAGGAGCTAAAGAGGCAGATGTTTAAGAGCATTATGGCCCGTGAAGAACGAGGAAGACGTGATGAATAGTCTACGGCTGCAGACCCGCAGATTTGTTGCTGCAGCAGCGAATCTGCGGGTCTGCAGCCGTGCCCTTAGTGTGACAGCGGGACGTCCCGAAGGTCCGCTCACCTGTTCACCGCTCAGACGTCCTGATCTTCTACCTTCCTAGATCATCCAGCTGTAACCTGTTTCTGATCATATCTTTAGTCCCACTGTAACACTGATGCATCAGTCTCAGACGGCATGGAGCTCAGGTGTTATTAGAACTACCTGTGTGTGTTTACCACCCAGCTTCAGCTCTTCTGTGTTTGGGTCTGACCCATGTTAGTACATTTAAGTCCTCCATCAGGCTTGTGCCTCTTCTAGTGTCATTTTAAAGGATATTTATTTATTTATTTAACCGTTACTAGATTAGTAGCAACAGAAATGCTACTAAAAACACACAATTATGTGAAGCTGGAAAAATCAGAATACTGTGCAAAATTACATTTATTTCTGTAATTTAACTAGACTGAGAGACCATTTAAAGGCTCGGGAACCTTTACAGGTGTTTCTATTTGCAATTTTAAATTTTAGCTGATTGGGTTTTTGTTAAATATCACACAGTGACCTTTTAATAGTCTAGATTAGTGTAATGTTCCTATTAGTAGTTCCTCCTGTTAAGTGCTTATTTGTTTAAATTATTCAGGTTTATATAAAACATTTGGACATACATTTTATTATGTTCAGTCATTAGTCATTTATATTTTACTATTGTAGTAATTCTTGCATGCTTTAATGAAAAAAGTAACTAAGTAGTTACTTTTGTTGGTAATTAGTTACTTTTATGATCTTGTAACTCAGTTAGTAACTGAGTTACTTTTTTGACAAAGTAATCAGTAACTATAACTAATTACTTTTTTAAAGTAACGTTCCCAACACTGCCCATCATAAACTTTTGTCGGCTGCTCTGAAGAGAAAGGTACGGAACCAAATTATTTAATTAATTAGCTGCGCGTTCTCCTGTCCTCTGTCCTCCAGGCGACACACACACACAAGGGACTGTCTCGGCTGTTATTTTCGTTAGGGAGTGTGCACGTACAGCATGTGCGCCTCGTGCACGAGCCTACTATTAAAGCTGCCATTACGCTTTTGGCCTGAGGGGGCAATCGCGAGCATAAAAATTCAAAACTCTGTAAAGTCCCTTTAAATTTGATGCGTAAATTAATATGGTTGTTCAGGCATGCTTTTTTTATTTGAGACGGCTCTCTAAGATAAAGCCTCTCTTGTCAAAAGTCCATTTGGAAACAGTGGTACACGCTTTGATCATGTCCCACCTTGACTACTGTAATGCATAGTATGTTAGACTGAGCCAGCTTGGCTCCAACTTGTTCAAAACTCTATTTATAGCTTTTATGCTATATTTATCTCTCTCTCTTTTTTTTTTTTTACTAATGTGATATCCTTCTAAGTTTTTATGTATTGTGCAGCACCTTGGGCCTCCGTTAAGCTGGTAGAAGTGGCATTATAAATGCATTTGATTTAATTTGATCAAAGTCACCAAACTGCCTTTTGACTGACATCAAATGAAGTAAATAATAATTAAATGCCTTTGGGGAAAATTTCTAAAACTGGAGTTTCCTGTTTTTGCGAATGAACTCTTGGTGTGTTCCAATAGTACATAAACAGTATTCTACTGACCCTTTAATAGATTCATTTTATAAAAAACCACAGAGAGCATTTTTTAGCACTTGACTGTTGGGTGACAAATTTCTAATAGGTTTTGCTCACCTGTTCTTCATGACTGTCAATGATCATTAAATCTGCACCTTCATCAACACAGGCATGCCTGCTTTCAGTCCAGTTTCTCCTTTCAGTTGAAACAAAGTAGCAGCTTGTCTTAAACTTTGTCCACTTCTTCGGACAAAGCATGCCTACAAATGGATAGAAACTATTACTATTTAAATTTGTACTAACTGTATTAAAACTGTAGAAAACAAAGACTACCTCTGACTTTATCAGTCATCTTGTTGAGATTCTTCTGTAACTTCTCTGTGTCTGTGACCAAACTACTGTAGTTGGTCAGTAACTGCTTGTAGTTATTCTCAGTTTGACTTTTACTTTTATTCATGATGTCCAGACTTTGTTGCAGCTGATGTTTCTCATGCCTCACTGAGGAGGAGTAAGTTCTCTGTAACCGGTCTGTATTCTGCACAAATGCAGTAAAGTTTGCTCGTAATTCCTCCTTCTCCCTTTGCAGGTCCGTGTATTTGGTTTGTAACTGATTTGCATCTGCGGTGAAATTCTTGTGATTCCTCACTATCTCCCTAAAACTCTGCTTCATCTCATCATAACTTGTCTTCAACTGGTCACTTTCATTTTTTAAGGTGCCATATTGAGTTTGAAGCTGGTCTCGTTGGCTTGTCACATCCCTAAACCTGACCTCCAGCTCATCTTTCTGCAGCTCTTCCTTTTCATTTGTTAAGTTCCTCATTCTGACCTCCAGGTGGTTTTTATTCACAGATAAGTACTTGTACATGCTCTGCACCCCGTTCTTCTCTGTGCTGTCAATCTCGTAGTTTTGAGTCGTAATATTGTTATTTGTTTGCAACACACCTATCACTGCTGTACAATGAGTTTCATCTGCAGAGAGAAAAAAGTACAATATTTATTTCTAGAATTGTTGACTTATGTAAAAAATAGGCGGTTTGCTGAATTTGTTTTGGAAATGAATGAACATTTTTGATTTAAGAGACTTCAACTTACAAAAGAAGAACTGTCCTATATTTCCAGCCAGGAGAACCACGCAGAGGAAGCCAAGACAAACCACAGCATGTTTAAGCAGCTGTTTGCTTCTGTGGCAGCCACCTAAAGAAAGAGCAGGAAGAAAAATACTTCCTGATTAATTAAAAAAAATACCTTGCTGCTGTTTAGATAACGTCTTCACAGATTAAAACCGATCTTGTTGATAAATCATATTTCAATGTTTTATTAAGTTAGTGATGTAATGTGCAAAACGATTTTCAACAATACAGAACCCCACTGGCCCAGAAAAAACATTTGGAATAAGTCATTCATTCCATCTGCAATTAACTTTAACTCTTTGATGCGGTGACCTCACAAACTGGGACGTTACTCGAGGTGAACCGTGAGCTGGACAATGTCCTCGCGGCGTTGCCTGTGTTAGTGCGCAAGATGGATGTCATCTCGGAGAGGGTCGCCGGACGGTGTGGGGATGTTTAGAACGCATAAATTGGCTTCACTGGTGGACATGAATGACCACTTAATAGACTCCAAGGCAGAGAGGAAAATTATCTCTGTCTGCCCTAAACAAAGTCTTGCTTATCCTTATCTGACGCCAAGCATCCTCCAAGGCTTCCTTCAACTCACCCCCACGAAAGGAGGAATGCTGACAGATGCTGTGTCCCGACCTTCCCCCCCCCCTGCCTTCAGATTGTGACTTCGGCTTCGAGGTCATCAACCTGCAGGAAACTCAATGCGCTCTCTGTTCCTCATTTCTCCCTCCCACCTGTCGACTGCAGCTGGTGAAGCGCCGTACTGGCAGCTCCCGTTGGAGGATTCAGGATCCCCCCGCCTCCCTATCAGAGCCTGTGATGTTTTGTAACTGTGATGTTCGTGCTTATATGTCTGAGGTGTTTTTTTTATTTTTTTGCATAGTACAGCTACGCCCCTGTCGGGTGTAACTATGATATGCCTGGTTTTTTCCCTCCATCAACCTATCCTCATGTAATTCCTTTTCATCTATTAAGGTAGCGCGACTCATGTTGCGAATGACCGCAGTCACCAATTCTTGTCATCTGTCTTGCCCATGTATGTCTGATCTCTGAATTGTGTGTGCTGAAACTCAATTTCGTTTCTCTGTATGTCTTGCACATGTGGTAGAAATGACAATAAATGACTTTGAAATTTGAATTTGAAATAATGGTCACTACAGTGGACACGTACTCAAAATTGTATTTTATTTTATTTTTTTGCTGTTAAGCCCAGCTGTTGAAGACTTTATGGCATGTGTTGAGGGTCTGCCCTCATGAGGAAATTACTATGCAGTAATTTCTCCAAAAGACTGTTATCTGCGCTCTGAAGAGCATATTAAAAGTCAGAGCTAGCTACAACTTCATTTCCCATGATTCCTTGAGCCAGAAGCAATGGGATGACGTCACCGCCGAACCCCGGAAACAAGTTCTGCGCATGCGCCGAACCACACGGAGACAGCTGGAAGCTATAAATTCTAGCGAAACGAAACCCAACTCCGTTCGTTTGTCCAGTCCAACTGGCGGTGAAGGACTCGCTCGTTGCTACGGCTCCGGACTCAAGAACAAGACCTGGCTGGAAAGCAGCGGAAAACCATCAAATCAACGGAGAACGCCGATTGGAACATCTGGGGGACGCCTCGCTGTTTTCGTTCGTTCAAAGTTTTCTTTCTCTATCTTCTCCCGTTTTCTCTATAGTTCAGAACAAGCAATAAAACCGCGCTATTGCTTCAAATTACATCGGTTTTCTCTTCTCCATACCAAAAACGCCATCGGATCCTTTTAAGAGTAAGCCGTTTTGTTGTTTGTCATTGTTTAATATCTTAAATAGTTTTATGCTGTGGCCAGGCTGACAAACTATCAGATATTCATTTATGATTGATCTTTTGTGTTGTTTCTTGATCTTTTTGAAGTGTTTTGAGTGAAGTAAGTTTAAGTTACTGTGATTGAAAGTGCTTCGGAAGTTTAAAGTGCAAGTTGCCCACCCACCCACACACGCACACACATTTTGGTTTTCCCTGTTTAGGGGGACACACACACATACTTGTTTTTAGCATTTGGAGGGGACTCAAGCTAAAACACACACTTATTGGGTCAGATTGTTTTAGATTATTATTTCATTGTTTAATTACTTGTTATTCATTTGATAAAATCAGTTGGTTGATATTGATTGATTAACGCTTCAGAAAGAGCGGAAGTGGTATTAGTTAATAAATGTATAGCCAAGTAAGATTTTTGTCTCAGATTGAGTTTGTTTGTGTGATGTGAATTATTCAACTGCAGCTCGTTAGGATTCACGGAACGTTTAGACAAGACTGATAATAGTTTTGGATTCAATTTTTCCCCTGTTAGAAGGGGATGGTGCCCCGTAGATATCGCCGGATATCCTAATTAATTAATAAATCGGTAAATATTTCTATATTTACGAATTTATTGAAGAATCCAAAAAGTAAGTAAAAGCTTACAAATTATTCGTTGGCCAATAGTCACAACACATGTGAGCCCCTCCATTTGGACTTCAGTAAGTCAAGCCAACATATTTCATGTTCAGAATGCACGCTATCTGTCACACCCGGTCATGTCTCCCCGTTTAGTTCAGCCTTGTGTCTCGTTGATTACTCCCACCTGCCTCTCGTTTCCCAATCACCTTAGCTCCCAACCCTCCTGTATTTAAACCCTGTCTGTTCTTTGTACTGTGTCGGATCATTGTTTCATTGTCCAGCGTGCTTAATAAATCCTGGTTGACCGTTCCTACCTGCTGCCTGTTTACTCCCCGGTCTGGATCCACGCCTTTCCTCCGCTCCACTCCGCAGCGCGCTGACAGAATGATCCGACCCAAACCCGTTGTGAGATCCAGCGAGGAGATTCTCCCGTGGGAGCACCTGCTTCAGAGGCTCACTCCGAGCCACCACCCAGCTTCTCCATCGCCTTCCCCTGCTTCAGTTCTGCCTCGCCGAAAACGCCGTCCTCGGCCATCAGCCGCAGCAATCCTCGCTGCTCTCCCGGAACCGGACGAGGGGTCGAACCGGGAGCCGCTTCCGGATCGCTCCAGCTTCGTGGGCACCTGCCTGGCTGTGTGCTCCCCGGGAGTTGGCCCACGGCGTGGGGAGGCATGCCGGGCTCCACCGCAGCGGCTGGTCCCTGGACGGAGCCGCGAGCTCGCTGCAGTTCTGGCTCAGTGCGCCAACTTGGACACACCCCCAGTCAGACCAGCAGTCCCGTCTCCGGTCCAACCAGCGCCTTCGTCATCTGCAGGCGGAGGAACCACGCCCACAGCCCAGCTGATGGAGCTCCAGGCGGAGCTTGACCGGATCCGCCAGCTCGTCAGCCTCCAGGAGAGTCACCTGGACACTCTATCCTCCCCGAACCGCCAGGAGAGGAGCGAGCCCGTCCACCCAGCGGAGCTCGCTGGTCTCCGGGCTGAACTGGCCCAGCTCCATCGAACCCTCAACCTCCAGGAGCTTCAGCTGGACGGGCTGTCCCCCCTGCTCTCACGGCTTCCAGCCCTACCAGTTCCACCACTTCCAGTCCAGCCTGTCCAGGCAGCCCCTCCTGCAGCTGCCTCGCCTCCACTCCAGAGGGCCCAGAAGCAGAAGGGACGGGCTCAGAAGCAGAAGGGATGGGCCCAGAAGCAGACGGTTCCGGTTCTGGCCCCGAAGCGGACGGGTCGGCCCCAGCAGTCGGCGGTCCAGCAGTCGGCGGTCCAGCAGTTGGCGGTCCAGCAGTCGGCGGTCCAGCAGTCGGCGCCCCCGGACCAGAAGTCGACGCCCCCGGACCAGAAGTCGACGCCCCCGGACCAGAAGTCGACGCCCCCGGACCAGAAGTCGACGGACCAGAAGTCGACGGACCAGAAGTCGACGGACCAGAAGTCGACGGACCAGAAGTCGACAGTCCAGAAGTCGACGGTCCAGGGCTCTGTGGCCGACGCCCCTGCCAGTCCTGTGGCCGAGGCCCCTGATGACGACGTGTCCGAAGTCGTCGCCTCCTCTTCTGATGACGACGTGTCCGAAGTCGTCGCCTCCTCTTCTGATGACGATGTGTCCGAAGTCGTCGCCTCCTCTTCTGATGACGACGTGTCCGAAGTCGTCGCCTCCTCTTCTGATGACGACGTGTCCGAAGTCGTCGCCTCCTCTTCTGATGACGTCCCGTCCAATGACGTCGCCGCCACGTCCGATGACGTCCCGTCCGATGACGTCGCCGCCACGTCCGATGACGTCCCGTCCGATGACGTCGCCGCCACGTCCGATGACGTCCCGTCTGATGACGTCGCCTCCTCCTCTGATGACGTCCCCGAAGTCGGCTCGTCTGACGACGTCGCCGCCTCCTCTGATGACGTCCCCGAAGTCGGCTCGTCTGACGACGTCGCCGCCTCCTCTGATGACGTCCCCGAAGTCGGCTCGTCTGACGACGTCACCGCCTCCTCTGATGACGTCCCCGAAGTCGGCTCGTCTGACGACGTCGCCGCTGCCTTGTCCTCTGAAGTCGGCTCGTCCGATGACATCGCCGCTGCCTCGTCCTCTGAAGTCGGCTCGTCCGATGACATCGCCGCTGCCTCGTCCTCTGAAGTCGGCTCGTCCGATGACATCGCCGCTGCCTCGTCCTCCGAAGTCGGCTCGTCTGATGACATCGCCGCTGCCTCGTCCTCTGAAGTCGGCTCGTCCGATAACAACGCCGCTGCCTCGTCTGGGGATGCTCTTTGCACTCAAGAGGCCGACGCTCCATCCGGCCCGGCGTCTCCACGGTCTCCGGTTCCGATGGTGGTTTTGAGGGCAACGCCAGCCCAGCCTGCAGTGACTTTGTCGCCGGTCCAGCCTGCAGTGACTTTGTCGCCGGCCCAGCCTGCAGTGACTTTGTCGCCGGCCCAGCCTGCAGAGCTCCTCCTCTGCCGCAGGCGCCGGCCTCCAGAGGCCCGTCGCCTCCTCTTCTGCCGCAGGCGCCGGCCTCCAAGGGCCCGTCGCCTCCTCCTCTGCCGCAGGCGCCGGCCTCCAGAGGCCCGTCGCCTCCTCTTCTGCCGCAGGCGCCGGCCTCCAGAGGCCCGTCGCCTCCTCTTCTGCCGCAGGCGCCGGCCTCCAGAGGCCCGTCGCCTCCTCTTCTGCCGCAGGCGCCGGCCTCCAGAGGCCCGTTGCCTCCTCTTCTGCCGCAGGCGCCGGCCTCCAAGGGCCCGTCGCCTCCTCATCTGCCGCAGGCGCCGGCCTCCAAGGGCCCGTCGCCTCCTCATCTGCCGCAGGCGCCGGCCTCCAAGGGCCCGTCGCCTCCTCATCTGCCGCAGGCGCCGGCCTCCAAGGGCCCGTTGCCTCCTCATCTGCCGCAGGCGCCGGCCTCCAAGAGCCTGTCGTCGCCTCCTCCTCTACCCCTCTGCTGGTCCCTCTGTTCCTCTGGGCCCTTCCTCCTGGTTCCCCTCCTCCCGCCCTGCTCCTCGTTCCTGTGGGCGTCTGGGATCCGCCCCTTGAGGGGGGGGTACTGTCACACCCGGTCATGTCTCCCCGTTTAGTTCAGCCTTGTGTCTTGTTGATTACTCCCACGTGCCTCTCGTTTCCCAATCACCTTAGCTCACAACCCTCCTGTATTTAAACCCTGTCTGTTCTTTGTACTGTGTCGGATCATTGTTTCATTGTCCAGCGTGCTTAATAAATCCTGGTTGACCGTTCCTACCTGCTGCCTGTTTACTCCCCGGTCTGGATCCACGCCTTTCCTCCGCTCCACTCCGCAGCGCGCTGACACTATCCACTGAGGTGGACATGTGATAAATTCTTTGTAAATTATTAAATGTTACAAAAATATTTGTTGAAATGTGTTTCATTCACACCTAAAGATGAATGGAAAAATTGTTTTAAAAAATCATGGTTGAATATTTCATAATTCATGCATCAAAGGGTTAAACAGCAAAAAGTAGATGATACTGGTAATGCTGGATGCATTGTGTGTTATCTTAAATGTGAATTAAGAAGATTTTAATGGGAGTGGTTTATATATTTTATATTTTATTTAATTTTTATGAAGCCATATCAAAGACAAATTTCTGTTTTGTTCTGAAACAGACAATAAAGTTATCTATCTATCTATCTATCTATCTATCTATCTCTAGCACAAAAAGGGACTAAAGTGAATAGGAAATAAATCTTGTCTCTTAGAAATGGTTTACTTTTTATAACAGATTTTTTCTAAATTTAGTAAGAACTGAAGTAGATTTTGATTTAACTAAAAAGTTTTGAACAAAACTGGACTATAACCACCAAAAACTGTCACATTTTATAATAGTTTTGTGAATCACCCTTTTTTTTAAGTTTAACCATTTTTGAAGTCAAAAATGTTTTAATCAAAGTGATGAATAACAGCTTACAGTTAAAAAAAAGTGAGACATGTTTTGGTTTATTTATTTATTATTTTCATGTAAGACATAAATATTGTACTTAAAATCAAACAAAAAAGTAAAACAGGTAACATCTGTCTCTCCTGAACATTGTTTGAAACAAATGTAACAAAAGGAAAAATGGATTTCCTATGCTTTTCATCTTTGTGAGATTTCTTTTTTTTTCTTTTTTTTTTTGTCTTTAGAGTGATGCTGTACCTGGAGTCAAGAGCTTTTTGTAACTGTTGTCATCAATGTCCATTTCCTCCATGATGATTTATGTCCTCCAGGCTTTTTCCTCTTTTAGCTGAAACATTTGCAAATGACCATAACATTATTGTTTATAATAAAATAAAACATTTAAATGTTCAAGTTTGATACATTTAATATCAAAAACCTAAGTCAGCAAGTCCGTTCAAAGTCTTATTCTAATAAAAGGTCAGTCAAATATAACTTCTGGATAAACTGAGCTCATTCGTTCATTAAGTATTTCAATATCAACACTTATTAAACCAAAGTGGGCTCTGTGGGGAATTGAAAAAAAAAACAAATGTTCTCTCCTACTTTGACACAAATCATGTTTTACTTCAATAATAAAAGACAAATGCTGTGAAAAATATGAATAAATTCACATTAACTCTAACTTCCTCTTCAGAATGTAAATGGAAACAGCAAATTGTTGCACTCACCTTGTAATTATTATGCTTCACAAAACTGCATCAACTTTTAACAAACAACTGAATGCAGCACCTTTTATTGAGCTGAAACAGGATCCTGTTAGTGCTTATGTCAACACATTTGTATCAGTTTTTGGTTCACAGACATAATTTTAAAGGCCTGTTTTGTTTTAAGCAACACAAACAGTCAATGAAGGTAATTTATTTTGGTGGAGTTACTACTAAAAGTGAAAGTATGCTTTTTAAAACTTCTTCCAAAGTTCATCTCTCAGTTTTGGTTCCTAATTCCCACAGAGCAACTTCCCAAAAAGTTTGAATTAATGCCATCATGTAAAATTCAACAAACAGCAAATGAACTCTAGAACTTTGTGGATCGAGTTCTTAGAATTAACCGTCACATTTTTACAGTAAGGACATTCACTCAATTACTGAGCAAAGTATCTGGAAGGAAAACACATTATAGCCCTGACACCTCACCCCAACAATGATTCATCAAAACCAGCAACCCAGACCAGAAGGCACTTTAGTAAAAAACTTCAAAAAAATGCATTTAAGTATTTCAATTGTATTGAGTAATCACAATAATACAATACATCAGATAATAATTTTATAGAAATGCATTCCCATGTTTTGATTCCATATATGGCATTAGCCTAAATTATCACAACAAATCCAAATGTATTAATGCTTATAGGTTTGGCTCTCAACAGGGAGGTCCAAGTAAAATTAACTCAGCAGATTTTACTGTGATTCCTCCAGAACCACCCCTGACCCAGACCTAGCGACTAGGTGCTAATTTTTTATTTGATTTATTCTACTGTTTTACGAGATGCTCAGATAAATCCAAGCCCATTTTCTTTTGACATTAGCAACACATAGCCCTGCCTTCTTAACAAGCTTCGACACAGCTGACAACTCAATCACATCAATAAACACCTCTGATCATTAATCTTTTGGACTCCAATGATCCACCGTGTCCCAGAATTCTGCTGTGGAAAGTTAATCTATACCAGGCACTCTGGCAGTTCTAGCCTGCTAACAGGTAGTGGTGCACTTTTTGTACAATCAGGCCAACAGACTCATCCTGCTAATGATGTAACAGACTGACAGCAATGCAGGTGACATCAGCCCAGAAGGCTCAAGCAGGACCTTTATCTAGGTCCTTGCTTGAAGCCCAGGTGTCCAGATAATTTCCCCAAGCCAAGCCTCAGCACCTTGGGCTTCCATTCAGGTTGTGGAAGGTGCTATACAAATACAATTTGATTGATTGATTGATTGATTGATTGATTGATTGATTGATTGATTGAACATCAGTGGAACAGTGCAGCAGCAATACCGTGGGAGCAATCCACTATGGGCTACCTCTCATGGTGACAACTCATCACCTGTTGAAACTACATCAAGCACAGATAAGGTATTCAACTCAACAACCACTTTTCTCAGACACACACATCAATTTGAGTTATCGACGTCAATGTCAAGCTGGCCAATGGACTACCGATGATGGAAAGTAGCTCATGGCTCAGATCTGACATGTATACAGTGATTATTAATTGTTGTTGTATAATCCATGTCACAACAAATAAATTGCAGATTATAAACAAGGTCAGTTAGACCAGAAAAACTTTTGTAAATCAACATAAAACAAGAGGAAATATTCGTTGCCAGTTTTAATTTAACAACAATTAAACCCCTTTAAAATGTAGTTATTAAATGAACAAATGAATAAAAATGAAAAAGGAAGTGGCCTGAATTCAATCATCATTTCACCAATAATGACCAAGTTTGTAATGGAGACCACTGAAAATTCAGTGTAAACATGAGTGGACTAGGCTGATTTCTGGATCAAAAACTCATAAAAGTGCTCAGTGAGAAGGATCAACCCTTCACAACAAAATTGATTTAATATTATTATTTTTTTTTCAGATTCAGGTTCTTGGTAATCTAGAAACAGCTGCCAAAGCAAAAGGAAACCAAAAGGAAACTAAAGTGAAATGTTCAAACATGCAGCAGACATCAGCAGATCTTCTGCAGCCTGAGGTCATTTTTGAAGCAGACACAGAGCTGCTGCTTTACAGCAAATGTGCTTTTCTCTCTCAAAGACCATATTAGACTTCACAGTTGCTCATTGGGAAGACAAAATCAGTAAAGGTATTAAAATGACAAAAACAAGAGAACTAAGGACTGAGGACTAATTTAGTTTAATCTTGTAAATTATATAGTCGTTTTTTTACATTATGGACAGAGATGCAACACAAATTGTAAATATGTATTACAATATATTTCATAGATAATAGATTAATCATTTTAGGACACAGTTCTCAATTATGACTTGTTTCTGGTCAAATTAATAGCATCTCTACACTGGTGATCACTAACCTACATCTCACATGTTCAGTGACGGTTTAGAGATGTATTGAAAGTCCAGAATGCTAAATTATTTACTGACAGACTATAACCCGCAACACTACCAAGAGAATTACATCTGATTTTTGAATAAAAGAGCAAATTTATATTTGATAGATTACTGTTAAATTCACTGATATATTATTGGTTTTTGGATATTATAGTTTGCAGAAATAGCTTAATTAAACAAAATGTTGACCTTAGTCAATGGTGTCTCGATTCCTTTCAGACGAATCAAAACAGGCAGGAGTTCTTCAATTTTTACAACTACATTGATGCAGTGTTCAGATCTGATAGAAAACATGATCAATAACAACAATCTAATCCAAATCAACAATTCAGTCTGTTTAAAGTCCACTCATGTTTCAGAGTTGGTTGTGTGTTAAAGTTGGAACCCTCATTTTAAACATGTGTCATCCCAGATGCACTGCTTGAGCACAAAAGCAGCTTCCCATACTCTTCAACAGAGCTGAAGTGAAACCTGAGCAGAAGAAAAAGTCTACCATTGGACAAGTGAATAATAAATAACTGAATAACCTCTGCTTACATCGCCTGCAGGCAGAAGGACCCGGCATACCGTTACAGCTCTACACAAACTACAAAGGCGAGGCAGAGATGGGGGTGCATTCTCAGTCTGCCTCACCTGCAGGTGTTACCTGCTCTGCAGCGAGCAGCTGAACGACTGATTCAGCCTTCATGCTGCTGCCTCGTCAGATTCCCCTCGCTGCAGATCTCTGGGACCACACTGACTTTTTACTACATTCCTCGGGCGCTCAGGTGGAGTCTGATTGACACCTGTGGCCAGTGAGTCACAGTGTAGGCCCATACTCCCCGCCCCCATCTCACCACCACCCATCAGCAGCAAGCCACCTTCACGATATCTGAAGGCTGTGAACTAATCTGACAGAAAACTGTCCACCCAAATTCTCCCTTTCATTCCTCCCATTCCTCACCTGCGTTCTCAGTCCTGTTTAACTTCTTCAATTTACATTATTTCTTTCATTTTTGTCCTCTTTGATTCCTCTTGTTTTTTCTATGTATCTTTGATTTTAAACATACATCACTATACAAGGTGAAAGACAAGAACCACACAAAACAACAAGCAGAACAATTATTTAGGATCACTCCAGTCAGCTTGAAAAGACTTTGGGACTGCTTAAATCATAAATCTGGTCTTTGAAGCATGTTGAATTATATTGGTCTGATTTTCAGGGAGAAATGAGCACTCTGCCTGTTGAATGTGGTGCGTAGCCAATCGGAAAGCAAGGTGACGGAAGCTGGCAGCACAATAGACATGAATAAGAAAACATTATTTTACATAGCGCCTCTCAAGATAAAAATCATGAGGCACTTCACAAGAACAAAAACATTTTAAATATAAAAAAATATTTTTTAAATGATAAAATATATGGTTAAAATGAGAAAAAATAAAAACTGTGATTAAAAATGTAAGGGGAAGAGAAAATGAATAGGAAAAAGGGAAATCAGTGGATTCCTGGAAAGGGTGGAATTAGTAGAAAGAGCAGAATAAGGAGAGGGTGGTGATGAAGGTCACCCAAAAGCCAACCAGAACAGGTGAGTTTTCAGTTGCTTTTTAAAGGAGACCACTGAGTCCACTGATCTCAGGCTCAGGGGGAGAGAGTTCCAGAGTTTAGTATACGTAGACATGTCACTGGGTACTGGAGAGCATAACAGTGTCACTGCCATATTGGGTGGGTTCTTCACTCTCCAAACCCAACTGGAGTCCATGCATGATGGGCATCTACACCCGCTTTTTGTGCAGCCCACATTTGCAACAGCCAGCATACAATTGAAAACAAATCACGCGGGATTACTATAGACTTTTCTCATGTATGTGTTGGGATTGAATATTTTCATTTATTTGTATTTACTGTATTTTATTTTATTATAATTATACTTCTGTTATCATGCCATACCATATCTCTGAATTTGTGAAAAAGGATAATACATTCGTTTTTTTATTTAGTTGGGTAAACACCTTCCTCTGTAATAATTCACTGATGGCGAATTGGAACCCATCTATGCCAGCTCTAATAGGCAGTGCCAGTCCACGTCACGTCTACGTACTGTATATGATGTTTATGAGCATCACGCCTCTCCTCCGCCATGTTTGTTTACCTCAAACCAGTAGCAGCTTGTTCTTTGGGGCACTAGGTCACTGACCTCCCTGATGTGAGAGGAGAGAGAAAAAGATCTAAAAAGTAAAAAGTAAAAATAAATCTA